CTTATTAGGAGGATGAAACAAAACTCTGTTGAATTAACTTGATGTTTTTCTTCTTCATGTAAAATAAATGTGACAAACTGAAAACCAGTTTGTGGACAATGAATCATAGATAATGAGTGAGAAGTCACAGCAGCTTATCTCAACTTGTCTTTTATGCTCAGGTTCAACAAAACTCTGTCCTAATGCTGTGCATTCTTCTTTTAAAACGTGCTTCAGCTGAAATGACTACCCAATATTCTCTATTGTTAGCTGGCTGCCCACCTACAATGGAGGTCAAACGTTATTAGAAAGAAAATCTGATCAGGGAGCTGTTAACAAGTCTGAATCATAATCTGCAGCGTTTGCTGTAGTTTTTGTTTTTTTTTTTAACTTGGTAAAAAAGAAATTTGGATTGAAGTAGCAAATAACCTCATCTTTGTGGTTTCTGTCAGAGCTTATGATACTAAAACAAAACCGTTTCACTTCAGACACACACACACACACACACACACACACACACACACACACACACACACACACACACACACACACACACACCTTTTCTGGGTCATCAAATTTTGCAGTTTTGTCTGATGCTCCTGACTCCTCCCTGTCATACAGGACACGTGATTTTCCCTCATAGAAGCACGAACTACTGATGCTGACTGATGATAGATAACCTTCTACTTTTAGATATCTACAGGGACTCTGTAACAGGACAGTAGAGTGTACCACTGCCATTGTTCACTGAACCATGACACCACAGTCTGCTCCACATTCTGATGAGCAGCAGCAATGTTGTAGGAGCCAAAGATGATTATGTATAAGATGGTTTCAGTGTCTAATATTACTTTGTTTGAGTCTGCTTCACCTATTGGCTGAGTGTGAAGTGTAGAAGTAAATTTAGTAAGAGGTACTTACAAGGGTTATGGAGCTAGTTATGTACCCATTTGGTGGTTACATTATTTGATATTTACATGTTTACACATCTGGATGTTTACAATGCACGTTTAAAGCAGTAATCAGTATGTGTTGAATCTTTCTAGTTGTTTTTATTGCATTTTTCCTTGTATAGGATTTCCTGGCTTCTGAGTGGCCAGTATCATGAGGGCTGTACACAGGAAGTGTTTTGTTGTTGTTGTTGAGGGGTACGGAGAGTAACGGTGCTGCTAAGGAAGTTATCTCTCTTGCTGTTTTTAATAGTTCAGAAAGATTCCAAACCACATATCAAACCGTCACGTTATACAGGTGATGCTACCTGAAAGATGTGACTGGAGCAAGAAAGATGATTATGTATAAGAAGGTTTCAGTGTCTTTGACCTCATAGCCTCCAATCTAGGCCTCTACGGACTCATATAGGACAGGTGCAGGAGATTTACACCATAATAAATGTTGTATTTTTTTTATTTACAAATATCAACATTTTTGTTATTAACATGACACATACGAATACAGATTGTTTATAATCAAACACAATTTGTTCTGTGCCTATTGATTTATTCAGTACATGTGGGTTTTGGGGGATTTTACATGTCCTGTTTTTCTTTAACTGGTTCGTTTATTTTGACTAATCAACTTATTTGTTTGTAACCAAGTTAAAACTGTTATTTATTAAAATGTGTTGAAATATTAAAATGTGTTGAAATCCATGCTAAAATGTAAAACAATAATCCATATTTAGAAAACAAAAGGCATTCCTTTTAAAAGCAGCACAATGTGTTTAATAAGTCTGAAAGAGCACTTGCATTATATATGGTTCATTTTTACAAGTATCCTGTTTTATTGTGAAGAGAAGTGAATGTGATTGTGATCAGTAGCCAGACTGTAAGCAGTTTTTGTGTATGTTTCTTTCATTTCTGCTCCACCGAGCAGCTGCTCACTTTGTTTTAGCTTGAGAGCCCGCGCCATCTTGGTGATGTCCGCTGATCACTCCGCATTCCTTCACACATTGCTGTTATGATCTAGTCCCATTTCAGAAGATGGCATATTGTTCAAGATCATTTTAAAATAACTTCATTTGATCGGCTCAGCCACAGATGATAATTAGAGACGCATACTAAGCTGTAAATAAAGCTAAAGAAAATTGTACTTTTGGTATGCAGAAAACATGTCCTGCACC